TATTTATACTAAAAGTACTCGGCGCGCTGTCTTGCAATCTATGTTAGTCATTAGTCTGCTATGCGACAAGTATATTTCCACCATAAAAGCAACATAAGAGACCAGGTATTCCCTCAAATTCATGACTGTCCTACAACCCGGAGGCACCCGTGGCAATGCGAAATAGTGTTAACGTGTCGTGGTCGAAACTGCGATTCAACCTATATGAGAAAACAAGGGTGTATAAAATTTAATGGAAACGTGGTCTACTTATAACACTGTGAGAGAACGCAACTGTCAGCCTTACATCAGCTTATGAAACCCAGGGTGACTGGAACTTGTAAAAGTCAGAGCCAGAAACGATTAGAGGAAAGATAAAAACACAATAAGAAAGGTGCGATTTCACGATCTTAGCAAGATTATCTAAGATTTGATTGGTTACTTCGCACTTACCCCAGATGCTAGCAGATTATTAAAATTTTTACATGAAGAGGACGTGGATGCGACCATAGCTGTTTCATTACATAAATAAGCTAGAGTTTGACCCTGCACTAAAGCATGAAATAGCCAATCAGATAATCAGGTGTTTCAATAATATCGCAAAACTAGATATAGGGACGATCGCAGCCGATCACCTTTATTAGTTTAACTTCTGGAGAATTTTTGTAAATGATGGTTTCTCGTTCTGACGATGCCTCTCACATGATAGACGAAAGCACGTAACCATCTAGGTTAAAAACCACATTTAAATCTTAATCCTCCCCAAGTTGATGATAAGGCCAACTTATGAGTCCCATCCACACCTCTTGAAAATAAAAATACAATATAAAGATGAATGAGGGACGGTGAATTTGGAATCGCCGAAGATCTAGAAAAATATTATATAAGAAATTATGGTGAAAGATCTAACTAATTGGCATCATGGCCCTTGTGGATCAAACCGAAAGGCATCTAAGGTTGCTTGACATTTAAGAATTCCTGCTAAAAGATGTCATCGTGATAAGGCTGAGTAGAAATAAATGAATAAGCGTAGTCTACAAGAATGAAGTTGAATAATGAATTGTCTGGAAATATGACTGAATAGCTAAAAGGGATCATTTAACTGGGGATCATACAAAGGCGTGTCTTTAAAAAAAGATGTGAAAATCTCACCTTCTTAGCTTGAGTCAACGAGATGAACATAGGTATCATGGACCTGCGAAGGCAATACTTGTCGTGCCAAAGCCGCTCAATGCGTACAGTTGGATTGGCAGCAACAAAGAACTCTTGGCATGGATCATCAAGGCGACCATCGTACATCCACTGCCCGATGGCGAAATAGAGAGTACTTGCAATACATGTGAGAAGATGGCGCATGTCAGTTCGGATCTCAGGATGGCCACTCAGAGAATATTGATACACGAGAGAGGCTAAATCTCCACCCTTTCGGCCCAATGCAACATCTGCCAAACATGCCATCTCACGAAGCCGAAGACGTGGACCGCGAACCCAGAGCTGAAGACGTGTGAGATTAAATGGCTCATTGGTTGGCCTTCCTAGACTTGGTTTGCTAATATCACAGTTTGAGGCCAGATTATGCAATGCTGTTTGTTTCTCTATATCCAAGTGCGACTAAAATAGTGGATAGTTTAATGGATTTTACAAGGAAAAGCGGCATTAGGAGTGATTACGAAGAGATGTTACGTGTAAATTAATTAGGTGGAAGTCGTAGCACCGATAAAATTAAGGCAAAGTGTATAAATAATACAGAGGAATGAAGTAATTTTTTATTTTGGCAATTGAATTGTACCCAGCACTTCAGAGCTGCAAATGAATATGAATATTCAGCGCTAACAAACACATCTAGGAGTCTTAAAAAGTATCAATAGTTCTCTAATATATACCATGATTATTTTAGATGATGAAGTTAACCTGTAAGTAAAGAAAACTCGAGCTGTGACCTAGAGGAAACATATTTTAATTGGGCACCCACGATAGGGTCTAGAATCCATTCGAAGGTACCGATGGGATCCAGGCGAATTATAAAGTGCAATCCAATCTGTATAATAATCCTTTGATGATAAGACTTAGTGAAGTACCAAGGTATTATTAGGCTCATCATTTAAGGTTACCTAAAGATAAAAACAAGACAATTCTTGAATAGAAGGTATGAAGAACAAGATGGTGTGGCCTTTTATGTGGTAGCAGTCTCATTTCGTTGTATAAAAGTTGTTTGACCTTGTTTTCAAAACTTGATCATATTGGTAGGAGGACTTAGAGGAACGCAGCTAGTCCAGAGTCCAAACGTGTGCTAAACAGTTGTGATATCTCCCCTTCTGCCCTAAGCTATTCACATTTCGTATATCGTCCAATCATGCCTTCCATGTCAAAATTTTTACCGTGCTTATTTTTAATGTAGTGTAATGTACTCCTTCGAGCGGCATTCATAAAAACCCTTCACACTCTACACTGTCGTTATCACCCCCTTAACCCTTATGCTGGAAATGTTGACCAGAGTCTGTCATATTGTTACGTAGTCCTCTCCTGGGTCCTATCAATCTCCCTCTTGCCCCGTCGAATCCGTCTGCTATCTCCCTGGTACATGTATTTCACTCGACCCCTGCCCCCATCTGTGCTATTCAAGGCGTAATCTGTCCATCCCTTGCACCTAGGTGATTAAATAGAGGCTAAAGCCTCAGAGTAAGTCTCATGGTCATGCCTTTGCTACATGGACCACGTCTCTTACAAAACCTACTGTCAGCCAATTAGCTCTAACCCCCGCCTCATCTATCCTGTCTATATCCCTAATACCAAGTCTATGACTTGCCATTCCCTAGTTGCTTGTGTCCCAACCAACAAATGTTGTAGTACTGCTGGCTTTGATAAGGTTCAATGTTGAACCACAACGTTTGTAGGTTGGCACACAAGAGACTACGGCATAGGAAATCATAGACTTGGTATTATAGATGAAAAGAGGATAGAAACAGTGGAAGCTAGAGCTAGTCGGCTAACAATAGTCGTGATTCAAGGATCATGTTTATTATCAAACACGTATATTGTTAGCCAAATAGCTTTATTCTTTTCTATTTCTATT